AAATAGGTTTAGGGAATATTGATGATAATAGCCTGATTAGAAGATAAATTTTAAGAAAATAGCAGGCAGCAGAAATGCATTAGTCGACATATCGAGGTTTGCATTTTTTCATAAAGCTTCCGAATAAGGACTTTAAACTATTGTGTATTCAATTCAATCCAATTATACTACTTTTCTTTGAGTGCTTACTAAATATCAGCCTATGTCTTGGCTATATGGTGATGAACAGAACAGATTTTGTTATGGCACTAATGGAGCTAACAGCATAGTTGGTGAAATAGTAAATAAACACGTAAACAAATCTCTAAATTACAAATATTGATACTATGAAGAGAAAGAAAAGAGAATATGAGAGTATATAGTGATATGTAAGACTACCTAGATAGCACTGGCAGTGACAATCTCTCTGACCTTCAAACTGACACTAAATCGAATCACACAAGTAAAGATCCAAAGGAAGAGGATTCATGATAGTGGGAACAACATGTGCAGAGCACTTAGTAAATAAAAAAGCTTTGCTTATTCTAAAAAGTGAAAGCTTCTCAGTGTATTTAAAACATACAAGATGATAAAGAGAATGGCATGAGCTGATACCAGGGCAGAAGAGCCATATTAGTTGTGACCTTTAGGCCACAGTGAGAAATTTGGCCTTACTGCAATAGAAAACCAGCAAAGGATTTTAGATGAGAGAATGACATAAAATTTCAAAGAAATATCACTTGGGCCGCAGTATGAAAAGAGTAAGAAGTGGTCAAGAAATTACATAGTCCCCACCATCAAGGAGTACAAAATCTAATTAAAGAGAAAGATATGTTAACAGAGTTTCAATAAGTGTGGGAAGTGCCATGACAAAGATAAGAGAGTATTTAAACAAGCATGGGTTCCAAATTTAATATACCATCTTTACACTACTCAAGTTTTATGACCTTAGCACAACTTATTTAACTTCTCTTGGTCTCAGTTTCCTTATATGTAATATAGAAATAATTATAGGACTTCTATGAGGATTAATGAGATAATGTGAAGAGTACATAACCTGTAAATAAATGGTAGCCCTCAATAAATGGTACCCATAATTAATGTTAATGTTAGACACAGTATGAGAAATGGACAGCAAGGGGCAAGACAGGTGTAGGGAGTCCAGTAAGGTATCTGTTACAATAGTCAACAAGAATGATGACAGTGACCTGCATTAGAATGGCAACAGTGGGAGCATAAATGGATTGGAGAGGGATTTGAGAGCTTTTTAGGAGAGAGAATCACTTTGTTTCTGATTGGATATGGGTAAAATGTAGTGATAGGGGTTGAATAAATTTCCAGTTTTCAGCTCGAGTCTCTGGAAAGAGAGTCATGGCACTCACTGAGTAGGAGAACTCAGACTTAAGAGCGAGTCATTAATCTCACACCTCATACTGAGACAGGAACCAAACAAATAAAAAACATCTAGATTGAAGAGGAGAAAGATTCACAAAAATAGTCAAGAGTGGAGCCAGAACCAAAGAGAGAGACAGAGACAGAGTCAGTGGTAGAGACAGGGAGAAGGAACCTACTGCAACTTTAGCCCTTCCATTCAGCATTTTCTGGTTCGTGGCTTCGTAGGTTATTCTCCTTTCTTAAATTTCAGAAATGTCATAGATTGTCCACACCAAGCTAAATGTTCCCTTTCTGAGAGAGTTTATATTTCTTTCCTACCCAAAACAAATTCCCCCAGCCTCTCTTTACCATGGAGATTTTAAATTTAATTGTCACCAAACAGATTTGGGTAAAAATCCTCTACCTCCCCTTCAGTCTGAAGAAGAGAAAGGATTTTGGAAAGCAGGCCATTCAAATCTTTAAACTCACAATAAGGTGTGAATTGCAATGGCATTAAGAACTCAGAGAAAGAAGAAGTATAAACTTGATCTCTAACTTGCTGTTCTGGCCTAATAAAGCTCTGCTATTTAACACAAAAGTGTGAACAGAACATGCTCCTTTAGTTAGTGAAACTTATTAGAACACTGAAGCAGAAACAAATCCCCGAGTCTGAAAATTGCAAAAGTGGAAGTGTGATTTGTGTGTGTGTGAGCTGTTCTTAGTTCTTGAAATTGAAATGCACTTGATTAATCTTCACTTGCTCTCTCACAGCTTTTGTTTAAATAATAGGTTATAGAAACAGTGCTGATATTAAAGTCAAAGTGGATCATGATAAGCAAAATGACAGACAGAAAAAGTTGAGGACCATTTGATTCCACTCATATGTGGGATATAAACTAAAGTCAACAAACAAAAAAGACAAACAAACAAATAAAAACTAATGGATACAGACAACAATTTAGTGGTTACCAGAGGGAAAAGGGGGAGCGGGGAGGTAGATGAAGATAAAGGGGGTCAAGTATACAGTGACAGAAGGAGATTTGACTTTGGCTGGTGAACACAATAAAATACAAGGAAAATGTATTATAGAACTGCACACTTGAAACCTACATAGTTTTATTAACCAATGTTGCCCATGGTTACCAGAGGGAAGAGGGGAAGGGGGAGGTAGATGGGTAAAAGGGGTTAAATATTTGGTGATGGAAGGAAATCTAACTTTGGGTGGTGAGCATAAAATGCAATATATACA